GCAACGAGCTTCTTTTACAGGTATTCTACGCTCTGAATGAGTATAAAGCATTCGGAAGTCGCAGTTAACCCCCATCATCTGGATCTACACACCTGGGCTCGCAGGACTAAATAGTAATGAAAGAGCTGATCGGTTGCAAGTAATGCACTAATGCAAACGGGAAGAAGCAAGGGCGAAGCTGATAAAATCAACGCTGTACAAACTAGGTTGGGAGATAATGGCGATCTATGGCGCTAACACGACTGCGTGACCGAGGAGCTAAGCTTGGTGAAGCACGTCTATGTCGTCTTCGAGGTAAAGACAGTAGATACTGTAACCAACGCCGCATGGTACAATCAGTAGAGATACCTTGGAGTGGCTGCTGCATTGGATGACTGATCATGCATTGGAACTAGGGCTGTACCGAATATTCGCTTCGTATTCGCTTCGGGGCCGAATAGTGAACCCAATAACTATTCGGTATTCGGCCGAATAGTTGCGGTGAGGCCGAATACGAATAGTGGTTACCTCACAACCGTTTCTGGACTGGTGGAAAAAAAAAACACCAAGACTTCCCACCTTGGTTTATACTGTGAAGCGTTATCTTTGTGCACCACCTACGAGCGCACCAAGTGTCCCTTTATTTCCATCTTGCATGTGTTGCGAGTATAGTGTTTTTAGGTGTGTTGCTGTAGAAACAAAATGCAACACTTAAAAATGTAAGAGGGGCAGAAAAGCAAGTGTTCTAGTGTTGTCGGCTTGATTTCTTTGAGTGGAGTGTCCTCTTTGTTGATTCTTTGAAGTTTCGGGAGTTCGTCATCATTTATGAGTGTCGTATATGTTCTTTCGTCGTCTCGTGGAAACGGCAGTGGCTGAATGTTTTGATCGACGTTGGGTTTCTTGATTGTATTTGTTGTTTGATCTTCTGGCGTTGGCCGCCCGGCGTCTGGTTTCGTGAGCTCGCGGGGGGGGGGGGGGGGTGTTGGCCGACTTGTAAGGACGGCATTGTTTTCTTCGTCGGCGTTATTTTTGTTTTTGATGTTTCGCCTTGCGGGTTTTCATTTTGACTCTCTGTATTTGTCGTATTTTCCTGTTTAGTACAGCTGGAAATACCTTCAGTGAGACAAAAAGCTGGGCTAATGCTGACAACATGGAACAAAGGTTTTTCATGGAGGTGTGTCAGCACACGAACTAATACGTGCTGCAAGATCGCAGATTGTGGCGAGGCATAATCGCCCATGCCAGCCGGCAAAGCACATGATGATGATGATTCACTATTCGTATTCGTATTCGGCCGAATAGTTGGTCCAGCTATTCGTATTCGGCCGAATAGTGAAAATCACTATTCGGTACAGCCCTAATAGGAAACCAATGTGAAAGGACGTCGATTGTGATATTATAACATAACTCCTTTTCGCAGACGGCTTCGTTTTCCATAGCAACTGCAGCGAAAGAGCTCTGTAGTTACATTTATAATCTTAATTTTGGTTTTTTTAACAAAGGATCAACATCATGGCACACAAAATCATGGCACCCATAAGTACTACGTTCGGTTCTCCTTTAAACTACGGCTCAGCACAGTGCACAGGCTCTGTAGCACCGGCGAGGATCCTGATATACTTTGAGTAGATTTTTAACTCCAAAATTTTGCCCGAGCAGCCCTGTTAGGCTACCCTTTTCGATTTCCAGCTGCCAAGGGATTTTTTACATACGCAACAATGCACACACGGACGTCTGATCTCACTACCCAGGTGAATTACTAGAATTCCAAGTCCACGTGAAAAAATGCCAGCCCTTACCCTCGATTAAACCCGGAACCTCTAGCACTCAAAGCGGACACCATGCCTCGTGACCACATAGCACCCGGATAATCTTAATATAGAAGTTTAATGACAAAACACGAAAATTAACACTGGAAACGAAACAAAAATTGTTAGGATCATTGCAAGAACAGAACAACTGTTAAAGATATGCCCCTCCCCCCCCCCCCAAAAAAAAAAAAAAATAGCAACTCTAGCAAGCAAAAGACTTCGAGTAGCGTAGCTGCATAATTCACACTGCATCCAAGGGAAAAATAGAAGCATAGAACATAGATGTAATAAAGCTGACACCTCTTAATATCATGACAAAATGCTGTCAAGAATTTGTTCAGGTAGTCTTCCTGCGAAAATTAGGACAACAGAGATGAAATGCCTTAGAAAAGCACCAGCAGTTTCAAGAAAAGACATAATACGAAATCAGACGAATGATAGGAATAAAGCCAGTCTTACATGTCATCAAAGAACAACAAATGAAGTGATTTAAACACATAACAAGAATGCCCTGTTACTATCTGCCACAGGGAGACACTAAACGATACGACGGGTATAGAGCGAGCGGAAGTCCTCGGAAAATATTGAGTGATGGTATTAAGAACAGCCTTACAAACATGAACATCAATCTTAACATGCTCTTAACAGAGCTTATCATCAGTTCTCGTTATGCCTAGTGGCACATGAGGCTTCAGAGAGGACTTTCCATGCTTTCCTGTCCTGTGCAATCTTCAGTGCAGTTTTCCATGTCAAACATGCCGCACTCAGGTCACTTTCCATCGTTCGTCTCCATGTTGTTTTTGGGCGCCCCTATTTTCTCTTTCCCTCTGGTGTCCATGTGAGAGCTGTTCTGGCAGGTATGTCAGAAGTCATTCTCATAACGTGGCCAAGCCATTTCCATCATCTCTTGGTAATCATTCTGTCTAAAGTTTCTTGGTTTGTGGCTTGAAGTAGTTTAGTGTTTGAGATTGTATCTGGCCAGAAAATTTTGATAATTCTACGTAGACATGTGTGGTAAAAGGTGGACAGCTTGTGTGCATCCTTTCTGGTCATTTTCCAGCATTCCGCTCCATAAAGAAGAACTGGCAAAATGATGCCCTTGTAGAGTCGCAGTTTCGTTCCTCTGCAGTAATTGTTTGATTTCCAGATTTGCCTCATCCTTCCAAAAGCAACTCTAGCTTTGTTAAGACGTGACTGTATGTCTTCCTCTGTCCCTCCCAGTAGGGACACCACACTGCCAAGATATGTGAAATGTTCTACATTTTCAAGTGATTTGTTACTTATGGTCACTGGTTGTTGGTTTGGACTGTTTGTCATGATCTTAGTTTTCTTTGTATTTATTCTCATAAATGGTGGGACTGAAAATAACAGAGCTCATCAACGAATGTTACATCTTCCCCTGACGACACTTCGCTGAAGTAAAAGATGGAAGAGAAAAAGTCTGGCAAAAGAGGGTACAGATAGGTACAAGTGGGCAAAACTATTAGCACAAGCTTCCGTTTCCTGATGCACACGAACTTCGTGTAAATATTAACCTGCTATTTAACCTCAGTTTGTGGGAATAACAGGTGTTAAAGTTAAATGTGACTGGCGGACGAGTACTATCTGGAGTATCCCGTGGATTTTCAGGGTCTCTGTGAGTTTATTTGTTAGAGTCTTCATGCAATTACTCCAGCGTTACCACATTTCATATAGTTTTTCTTGAAATATAATCACTGCATATGTCTAGATTCGAACAAGGAGTTTTGATTTTTTTTGGTCCAGTGGTGTAGAGGGATGGACGCCCTTATGTTCGGTAACGGCGAGAAAGCAAGTACCTCTAAGTCTGGTGTTCGATTTCTGCCGCCAGCTTTTGATGATTCAATAATTTTTGTATATGTATATTTTTTTGGTCATAATATTTTTTTTTAATGATGATGTTAGACCACTAATGGTTATATATCGTTAATTAATATGTTTTTTTTTTTTAAATCCTATGTAATTATAGTATATATAGTCATAATTAATTGTCTTCACTAAGTGAAAGTGTGACTGTGACGTGACTAACTCTAACAACTCACTAAGTCCAAGTCCTCCGCATATTTATATATTTTTATTACTACAGTTTAAAGTAATGATATAATTATTGATATTTCTTGAGATTTTATATTAATTTTAAAGATTAACTATTAAAACTAATTGGATTACTAGTAAGAATAATAATAGTTAAAAAAATGTGGGCCATCTTCCGAATGACGGTCCCAAATTATCGAAGCCGAAAATATACCCTAACACGGCCTTAGTCACGTGTCAATTGCGAACTTTCAGCAATCCATGCCGCACGTAGCGGCGTAGGAGATACTCTTGGCAGTGGCGGAAGTGCGCAATTGACAAGTGACTGAGGCCCTGTTAAGGTATATTTTTGGCCTCGATAATTTGGGACCGTTATTTGAAAGATAGCCAAAATTTTATAATATATGCTTAGAAAGTATTGTCTGTTAATTAGGAATTAGGTGTAATCAATCTATTAATAATGAGTAGAGAGACATTGGAGAACATCATGAAAACTGGAAAGGTCAGTGGAAAGAGGGGTAGAGGCAGAACAAGAGAGATGATGCTGGATGGGCTAAAACGATGTCATGGTGGGAGAACATCAAGGGAGCTGTTCCAGTCAACCAGGGATCGTGATCTGTGGAGACGCTTGTGCGCCTATGCCAGTTGGCAGGGAACATGATGATGATGATGACGATGGGCTTTACTATTCGTAGCCAATCCTGATGGAAAAAAAAGTTTCCATTTTTAAAAATAGTTATCCCCGTGTGGGTTCCGGGGTCCCATTGTGGGGAAAACAAGAATAGACCCACTGCCTCCCCAAAAGCATGTCGTAAGAGTCGACTAATTGGGTAGCTTCCTTTGAAGTCGGAGTGCATCTGCCTGAGAGGCAAGGAACCAACAGTCTGCATTCAAATGAATCAGATCTGTAAAACTGATGCACACGCAACACTCAGGTTCTGGAGCAGGACTGCGGTTCAAAAGTGGTCGAACAACCAGAACCTTCCGTCAGAGTTTACAGCTGGTGAACGCGAAGAAGAAGAAGAAGAAGAAGAAAAATAGTTACTGCGTGAATTTCATATAAATCTTGTTCCCTCTTTCAGGTTTCAGTAACTTGAGGAGTTGATGACAGCTATCTCGGTGAAGGGACAACTTTAAATTGAATATATTGATCTGAAAATGCCCAGGGCATGCTCCCAGTGTGGGTGCACTGAAATAGAGACTGATCCTACCAGAGGACATGCTGTGTGCACAAACTGTGGTACAGTCTTAGAGGATCAGATTATCGTATCAGAAGTTCACTATCAAGAAAATGCTGCTGGTGGTGCCTCGGTCATTGGCCAGTTTGTGTCGAATGATGGTAATATTTTCTTTGTTCATAATTGACTGAATGTTGCCGCTGTGCAGCCAAAGATTCCAAAGTAGATATTGAATATAGCACTTATTGATATTTATATCTACTCATAGATTCATAAGTAGATATTATTAATATTGCACTAATCAGAGCCAAATATTCATAACTGAATGTTGAAGATAACATAGCACAGGCAAAGATTTCATAGGTTGACATCACTGAGCATTGCACAGCCAAGCAGTGCACAGCCAGAGATTCACAAGCAAATTTTTCACATAACAGTTTCATTTAACAATGCACAGTCCTAGATTAATAAGTAGATGTAATTGAACACAGCATTGCACAGTCCAAGATTCATAAGTAGATATGATTGAACACAGCATGGCACAGTCCAAGATTCATAAGTAGATATAATTGAACACAGCATTGCACAGTCCAAGATTCTTAAGTAGATATGATTGAACACAGCATTGCACAGTCCAAGATTCATTAAGTAGCATTGCACAGTCCAAGATTCTTAAGTAGATATGATTGAACACAGCATTGCACAGTCCAAGATTCATAAGTAGATATGATTGAACACAGCATTGCACAGTCCAAGATTCATAATTAGAAATGACTGAACACAGCATTGCACAGTCCAAGATTAGTAAGTAGATGTAATTTATGTATAAATAAATAACTACAGTGGTGGCTCAGTACAAATTCATTTGAAACCTATTCTTGCTGCACTGGACATAATTGTGTGTGTTCAGTATGGTCATACACATGTGATAAGTACTGACCAATGAATAAAGGAGACTGTTTATTGTCCAGTGATGCATATGCTGGCTTCTGACCTTTAAGAAAGTGGCTTTTTTTAAATCCATGCATGTATGAGAATGTAAGAGTATATATACATGTGTGTGAATGTGTAAAATTGTGTACACATGATGTGTGTATGCATTATTATGTAATGCATATTTCTTTATTATATCCATAACATGCATTATTGATAACAGATATTGGTACTCTGAAAAATGAGTGCTTAGAAGGGTCGGATGTCAGACGGGCCTTGCGTGCCCAATTTGTAACCCTTTGAAAATAAAGTTTGTTCGTTCGTTCGTTCCAAAATCACACCTACAAACACTGTTAGTCACTAACTGGAAAGAGAATGTCGATCACAGAAATGAATGGAAGCAGATGCTATCTGCTGCAATGAACTTTATGGACTCAAAATGTTGAAGAAGTAGAAGACACTTTTGGATTTTTTAAGATCTAATCTTCTTTGTTCAAGATATTCTGAGAATCTTTCTATAGCATTTCAGCCTTAAAGCTCCCAATTCTCTTTCTTAAGGACTGAGAGATAGCCCTCCACTCACATCCGTATGTAGCCACAGGGAAGATGCATGCTCTCAAAATTCTAATTTTTATCTCCTTGCTGGTGCTTAACCATAGACTTTTAAGGCTGTTCAATCTTTGCATTGCTATGGCCATCCTCCTTTTAATTTCTGTCGAACAGTCTCCATTGTTGTTTTGTATAGAGCCTAGATATTCAAAGTTTGTAGCATTTTCAATTTCTTCATCATTTATTGATATTTTTGGAAGCCACAACTATTGTGAAGATAAAGATGCAATAAAATATAACAATAGCATAGTAACAGATTTATAACTATTCATACACCATTATTATTAATATTGTTATTAATTTGATTTGATTATTGAGACTGAATATTTGGAAATTTCCAGGTTCGAGAGCACAGTCTTTCCATGGTGTCTATGGGCGTGGGTTCAGTTCTGAAGATTCCAGAAAGCTTACTCTTGAAAATGGTAATTATGACGTAGATAACCTAGACCTTGTTTTTACATGTGAAATGTTTGCCTGCAAGTGTAAATTTTTTTCTTTTTCTTCACTTCCTCATTTACCACTTTAGATGTCAAGGGAGATATAAGGTTCTGCTTTTTGCTCCTCTGGTCGCCTCAACCATAGACACATTCTGCTGTTGTAGACTTTCTTTGATATTATCTTTCCATATTTTCCTTGGTCTGCCTTGTGCTCTCTGCATTTCTCTTCTTTTTATGTATGCCTTGTATGGTATGGCCTTACGAGGCATTCTTTCCAAGTGGGCAAACTATTTGATTTGCTGTCTTATGACCTCATTCCTGATAAGATCTCTTCTGGTCACTCCTGTATTCCTTCTCATTTCTAGGGTAACACATATTTTTTTCTGATTTGTTGTTGGTGACCATGGTGCTGATGTAAATTATTACATCCACAGTCATGTGCGATTAAAGCTGAAGAAAATCATGTGACTACACACAAAGCAAACCTATTGGTAGTCGTTTTATCACAGTGGTCTTGGGTACACACTAAACATTCCTTTGCACTATCAGTTCTCCGCTGCAGCAGCAATTATAAGTTACCTCAGAAAATTGGTATCAATGGTAGAATAATAAACAATCTGAGATATGCTGACGACACAGTTTTGCTAGCAGAGAGTGAGCAGGAGTTGCAAGACCTAGTGGAGCAAGTAAACAGAAGGAGTGCAGAATTTGGATTAGATATTAATTTGAAAAAGACAAAACCATGATATTTAGCAAAGAAAATAATCAGCTAACAATTAATATCACTGTGAACGGGGTGAAATTGGAACAAGTTAAACATTTCTTATATCTTGGACAAGTAATAACATGTGACGGCAGCAGTGAAACAGAAGTCAAGAAAAGAATAGGGATGGCCAAAAACATTTTCAACAACATGCAACAGTTACTGACATCAAGAGAAATAAGCAATACATTAAAAATGAGAATTGTCAAATGTTATGTATTCTCAACCATACTATGTGGCACAGAGACATGGACAATGAACAAACAACTGGAAAATCGTATCAATTCTTTGGAGACGTGGATTTACAGAAGATTAGGTCATATTTCATGGAAACAAAAGCTATTAAACACAGAGGTACTGAGGAAATTGGGAATGAAAAGAGAGTTGCTAGGTGAAATTAAAAAAAGAGACAAGTGAAATATTTTGGTCACATTAAAAGACTTAACAGTATTGTAAAGATCATCCTAGAGGGAAAGGTTCAAGGTAGGCTAGCAAAAGGCAGACAGCATTACAAGTGGGAGGATAACATCAAGAGATTGACGAACAGCAGTGTGAGTGAGTGTACATCAAGGGCAAGAGACAGGGCTTGTTGGAGATCCATTGCATCCTTCTTCTTCATCTTCTTCAGCAATCTCTGGTCATGCACATAATCCACTGTTGGTCATAAACTGGGATGTCTTTTCAAGGTCTCTTAGGTTTCCCCAAAGCTTAGTTGTCAGTTCTACTGGGTGTTGCCATATGTCGCTCCGCAGCTCCGCCAGGAGAGGACATTCTTGCAGGACATGTTCTGGAGGAAGGCACCAGCAGAGAGCTGTTTGGCTCATAAAAATTTATGTGAGTGTTTATTGAGTCTGCAGTGTCCATTGCGTAAGCGAAAAACTGTGACTTGGTCTGTTCTGTTCAAATGTTTCAGAAAATCTTTTTCGTAGTTATAACCAGTGTTGGTTTTCCAATCTGTTTCTGATTTTCTCTTAATGAGAGTTTTGACTTCTGGAAAAGGTAGTGGCTGGTAGGTCTCTGGTTTGTTACTGCCTTCCTTGGCTAAAGCATCTGCGCTTTCATTGCCTTTGATGCCACAGTGTGACGGAATCCACTGCAAGTGAATTTCTGCCTTATTTGACAACATTGCATCCACTTTGTAGTGTGCCTTCACTCAAGGGCCTGTAGGAGAGTCAGTGAGAAAAACTACCTGATTGATTGATTGATTGTTGTCAGGGTACTATGTGGCTATGAGATGACAGGGTATGATGATGGCAGTAATTAGGTTTTTGGCAGTGGTTTCTCCTCTCTTTACCTTGAAAGCAACACAGAAAACTTAAGCCCGGCTTCACTCAGAGGTCACATTGTTCGATCAACATCAGACTCATCTTAGTCCATGTCATCAGATAAGATCCCTGTGTGGGTTCTGGGGCCCTGTTATAGGGAAAACAAGAATAGACCCACTGCCTACCCAAATGCATGTCGTAAGAGTCGACCAATTGGGAGCTTCCTTCGAAGTCGGAGTGCATCTGCCTGAGAGGCAAGGAACCAACAATCTGCATACAAATTAGTCAGATCTGTGAAATGGATGCACACACAACACTCAGGTTCTGGAGCAGGACTGCAGTCCAGAAATGGACGAACAACCATAACGTGTTGCCGGAGTTTACAGCTGGTGAACAAGAAAAAGAAGAATATGAGATAAGAATACCTCGGACTGCCAGAGTAACTAATGAGGATTGCTTGAAGGAAGCTAGTGAAAGCAGATCGATATATACAGCTATAAGGAAAAGACGAGCACTGTTCTTTGGTCATGTGATAAGGTGGTAGGGGGGGGGGGGGTTTGGAGAATATTGTGATGGCTGGAAGATCAAGGGTAGAAGAGGGAGAGGCCTGCTGAGAGATATGATGTGATAACGAATGGACTGCCACAGTGGCACTGAGGAATATCATCAGTGAAAATGTTCCAGAGTACAAGGGACCGGGTTTTGTGGAGATGCATGAACACCTGCACTGTTAGACAAAGATAATGATAGTCAATATTGCATTGATTATAACAGCTCAGTCCGTGTGTCTTCCTGCATGTAATATTGCCAGTTGGTCCACTTGTTTATTGCCTGTTATTCCAGCTTGTGTGAAGTTGAAATCAGACTTTCATTTTAGCCTGGGCTGATCTGCGAGCCAAGGTCATGTTATACAAATCTGCATTCATGTAAGCCTCTGATATTATTTGTGTTTTGTTTCCAGGTTACCGGCGGCTGAAAGAAATGGGTGGACAGTTACGTATGCACCAGAGCAGTATTGAGACCGCCTTTGGCTTCTTCAAACTGGCTGTGGCGCAGCGGTTTACTCGAGGCCGGAGGATGGAGCATGTTCTGGCTTCTTGTCTTTATCTTGTTTGTCGAGTTGACCCAGGAGGAAGTGAGGATTTGGAATATATCCTTTTGCTTGAAGCTGTCTTTATGCACCTGTTTATTTCTTTAGAAAGTTATTGTAGATAAAGATCTATGTCATGCATGTAAAATGGCTCATTTAGTAAGATTCACATTAGGAGCATATCACAGATTTTCTACTCAGGGTATTCTGGTGTGTAGGGTAATGAGTAGGCTGACAGACTGGCTGCTGCTGTTCTTTCTGGGTGGTGAACTACTTTATTATAAAGTTGATGTGGTGAAGGCTGTCTGAGATCAGTTGGAAAGTGCGTCGGAACTGACAAAGTATCAAAACCCTGAAAGACTGATCCACCAGATTGCAAGCAGAAGGTCTGGATGGTTTTCAGACATACATAGGAAAAGACAGGCAGACTGTTAATCAGCTTGTAGATGGCACCATTGGTATAGGAAACTCTTCATTTGCTGCTGAGGAAGGGGACAGAGCACATATGGGAATGTGCTGTGATGTAAATTCTTCATTCATTAGAAGGTTTCTGGATCTGTTATTTGAAGTTGCCAAAAACTGTCTTTGAATAAAATAATTTTATGTTTTTGAAAAATAGGAGCCGCCAGTGTGTAGTGGCTAGATGCTGGCCTGCAGTTGGTGGGTCGTGAGCTCAGGTCCTGACAATGCCAGACTGTTATTTTCGGTTCCCAGATGATCCAGCCAAGAGTTGGTACCAGGGAAGTTATATAAGTGCTATATGCCTAATATGCCGGAAGGCTTTGAAAGGGTTCTGTACTTATTTAGTATATTTTCAGAAGTGTATTTCATTTATTCAGAAACTGAGTAGAAGTGCAGAGTAGAATGATGTACCATGGGGACAGAATATGTTTGTTATTAGATCATTTACTACCAGTCATTTCTTATACAGATGTTCTGTAATGTCATAATGTCAGATTGCCTAGGATGCTCTTTCTTGGTCTCTTGTCTGTCTTCAAATCAACTTTGTATATGTTTAATCCTGGGAAAAGCGACTTAATTGCACTGGGTTTTATCCCATATGGCTCAGTCTTTTTCCTTTAAATGATGTGTCAAGAGTGTCGTACAAACCACAATCTCCGTGGCTCTGGCGATGATCCCCTAGGGGTTTCTGTAAAACATGCACTTGTGAACTGAACAACCAACTTTAAAATGAACACACAGCCTTCAGAGGGTGAGGCAAACATTTTAACAGCTACGCCACGGAGACCCGATGCACCCACTATTTTATTTGTGTTGAATACTTCAGTTTTCCTCTACCTGATATGCGCCCAGTGAACATGAATAATCGTCTTCTGATACATTTGACTCCTTTTAAGTTAACTTTATTTTTGAAACATCTAGTTTTTTTTTTTGAGTGGGGGGGGGGGGGGGGTCTCTGTTCTCCCCATATGGGTTCTAAAGTCACATTTGGGGAGGGGGGGGGGGAGGGTTTACTGCATCCTAAAAATGTGTCATAAAAGTCAAATAATGAAAGGTGTTTCCCTCAAAATTGAAATGTATCTGCTTGAGAAGTGAAGAGCCAACATTTGGAAACTAAATAGCCAGATCTGTAAAATGGTGTACACAGCTCAGTTCTGGAACAAATCTATAAAGTCCAGACTTTTCCACTGGGGTTTACAGCCTGTAAATGCTAGGAAGAATAACTTTTCCATTCTTCTTTACAATGACATATATGTAGCTTTTACATAACTTCTCACTAATCAGTCTAAATATTTATGTACATCAGAATCTGCTAATATATTACCTCTGTTTTAGCTATTAAATTATTCTTCGTATTTTTCTAACCAAACGCATGTGCTTTTTTCCTTGACTTTAAATACTGATGTTAATTGATTTCAGTGATCTGATCCAGGTAAGTTTGTGCTCTCAGGCCTAGTTTTTTTCTATGTGTATGTTTGTCTGAAATGGAAATGCCAGGCATTAAAACAAGAAATTATGCACAGAACTCGTGTGATCAGTTGTTTTACTCTTGAGGAGCTATTGACGAGGGGATGGAGCACCTGTGGAGCTGTCTGGAGTGCTGTGATGATAGTCCTCTCATTATAAAGCAGAACAGTACGGGGTTTGTTAGAGTAGAGTGCTCTGATGTTGAGTTTGAATTCATTAATCAAAAATTAACATCACTGCAATGGGACATTTCCATATGTGTGCTGTCCCCTTTTTCATTAGCTGACGAAGAGTTGACATGCTAATGGTACCATTTACAACCTGATTAAAAATCTGACTGTTTCCCCTTCATGTTGAATATCTCCCAGAACCTCTACTCACTGTCACTGAATTAGTCTTTCGGTGTATGGATTCCCTATCTGTTCTTTTGCACTATCCATTTGATCCCATAAAGTCTTAATAATTAATTTAGTCACCACCCAGAGGAGCAGCAGCTAATCTATCAGCTAATCTTATCGAGCGATGCAAGTCACTCTGATGGCAGGATGCCTGTTTCAGTTTTCCATAGCATGCTTTGTGAGTCTGTTACAATCACAGCATGTCGGGCTGTGCTGTTCCCAAGCCATCGGAAAGTTACTGTTACTGCCTCCACCCGCATTTTCATAATGGATGTAGTGATGTTGTTGAGTTTGAAATAACCAGTGACAGTACACCGTGTAGTAAACAGCTTCCGCTGCTTCCATTCTGTACATTGTCTTTTTTCTTTCTGTTATGTTTATTCTTGTTTCTTCACATATTTAGAGCACTAAGAGTAGAGTCACTGGTAGAAAATCAGAGGATGTTGGGCACAAATCAAACAGTAGGATTCAAACAGAATAAGGGGAGATTGTTAGAGTAAGCAAGTAAGAAGCAACATAATTTAAACAGTTATAGATGGAATATTGGGGGAGTGTATAGCAACTTGTACTTCTGAATAGTGGCTTAGTAACATTGCTGGGGGCTGGGACTATGGTTGTCCCAGTGTACAGCAACTACACATAGAAGTTATCATTGCTTAGACTGCATAGCCTACTGTATGTCACTAATCAGTGTTCTAGGATTCAGATAGCAATGACAAACTACTGAACGTAAAATTTGCCTAGAAAAACCACAACAGCCAAAAGATGCTGGGGGTTAGTTCTGCAATGTCCTGTAAAGAATACACAACTAACTTAGGGTTTGACTGGAGAACACTCAGCTCAGGTGTATCCATACATCACATTATTTGTACTCACAAGATATTCTGCATGCATACTAATGTTCGTAGACAATCGCTGGTGTTCTTAACCTCATGCTGACATCTCAGACAAAACAGGAAGTAGCATCATCAAGCGGTCTTCAATCTTGACCATCACAGCGCCGGATATTTTCAGTCTCTGTAGGCTGCTTGAGTTATCTTAGTCTTCAGCTTCACTCGCATTCATTTTGTCCATGCTGCTCGTCCCATCGCCAAACACAGACTGAGGTTCAATTCATTCATCCTTCTTCTCATTCATTTAGTCTCCTAATCTCATGATTGTCTTTCATAGCCTATGCCTTTCTAAGCCCCACCTCTTATGTTAAGTGGATGTTTGTGTGGTAAACTTCTATTGTTATCGTAAAACTCATTACACTCCTGTTCTCTTTCATTCTTTTCTTTTCTTTCTTTCTTTGATTATTGTTGTCGTCAGCTAAGAAACAATTAAGCATTAAAATGTTTATCCACAGGCAAATGTTCATGTTTTGGGCCGGACTTTTGTGCAGCTGGCAGCCGAACTGTGTCAGAACATCAGAATTGTTGGTATGTTTGTTTTATCATCAGTTTATAAAAGTTGTGCTTCCTCTAGTGTTATCTAATGTATCACATTAACTATATTATTATTATTATTATTCCAGTGTATTCCCTTCATATCAGAAAGAGACACTCCTCAAATTTTGGGTCATATTGTGAGAAGAAAGAAACTGGGACATGTGACCACTAGAAAGATCTAAAAAAAAAAGAGACAGAGGAAAACAAGCAAAGCAGTTTCTTGACGCCCTTTTGTCACGGCATAGAGGGGTATCAACACACAAACTGATACATGTCGTTGCAGATTGTGGGGAGGTGTGATCAGTCACCTAGACCAGTTGGCAAGGCACTTAATAGTAATATTCTTCACAGTCTAACCTCAAAATTTTTGGCATTTTGATTTTTATAGACAATTTTACGTTCAGCTTGTTGCTTTGTTACTGTAATTATACCTGTAGTTACACGTGAAAGTGTTACGTTAAAAAGTTGTTAATATTACTGTAATGATTAACATAAATCAGGAGTCTTTGTGGTGTGGCAGTTAGACCCTTGCCTGTGGATCGGAAAGCTGTGGCATGGGTTTGCGGTCCTAGCGGAACCAGGCTTTCTTCAGAAATTACCTTGATTCCTAGGTTGACCCAACATTGAGTAGGTACCATTTGCAGTCCTGGGAAGTAAAGGTGGCTGGCGTGATGTTGTTCACATCACCCACCAAGTGCCGATTGGTCTATAAAATATAGATGTGGTAGAGTATGCCTGGAAACATGGAAAAGAGTCATTTTTAAAATATTTTTTAAAAATTTATAATCAGCACTTAGAGACAGCTTATTCAAAGCATATTTATTCCAACTCTGTGCTACCGGTGCCAGACATGGTCACTCACAACAAACCATAAAAGAAAATTAGTAACCACGGAAATGAGATGTCTGAGAAGGGCTGTAGGAGTGACCATAAGAGATAAGATCAGAAATGAGATCATAAGAGAACAAGTCGGCACAGAACCATTTCTGGATTACATACAAAGACAGCAAGTGAAATGGTTTGCCCACTTAGAGAGAATGCCTTGTGACACCATACCATACAAAGCATACATGGGAAGAGAAGAAGGACGTAGAGCACGGGGTAGACCAAGAACAAGATGGAAGAATAACATCAGAGAAACTCTACAACAGTACGATGTGCCTATGGTCGAGGCAGCCAGAAGAGCTAGAAACAGAACCTTATATCTCCCTCGACACCCACAGCGGTAAAAGAGGAAGTGAAGAAGAAGATGGAAAAAAATAAAGTCTGCAGTATTTAATATATTGGGCAGATATGGGAGCAGCAAACAGAAAATGACCAAACAGCCTTGGAAAACAAACGGGTTGAGGCAATAATGTCCAATTTTCTGGACCACATTCCATCCATGATAAAAAGATTACACATGATTGTGTCGGTAATGGGCAAGTAGATTAGGAGCCCTATGCAACATATTACCACTCAACATGATGATAACTGTTCTTTTGCTTTGTTCAGCTTTAAAAGCGCGGTTGGCATGTAGTATTGTGGTTTAAGGCTAGACTGTAATATCTGCATCTTTTGATCCAGAGACATCTGAATTAGTCGCCTTTTACAACATGCTTGTTACAGAGCAATGTTTGTCCATTTTTCCTCAAAAAGGAGGCACCAAAACTCAATGTAGGGAGAAGATAGTAATTACTGTTCAGTTTTTAACTTGATTTGAAAGCAGTGGCAAACTACTGGATGTAAATTTGCCTAGAAAAACCACACAACATCCAGGGGCTGTTGGGGTTGGTTTTTCAACGTCCTGTAAAGGATACGCAACTAACCTCTATTTAGTTTATTTATAAATTACCTGTCACAGTATTTCATTCTCCTTGCTTTGCCATTCTCTGCAGACCCCATTATATACATCCGCCGCTTTGCCAATCAGCTGCACTTTGATGACAAGCTGAACAGAGTTGTTGAATCAGCCACAAGACTGGTGTCTAGAATGAAGCGGGATTGGATGCACACAGGACGTCGGCCTGCAGGGCTTTGTGGAGCAGGTGGGTTCAGTTTAAATCACTGAATTGTTCTTCATATTTTATAATTAACATTTACAGAAATTTTGATGCAGGTTTCAAGATTGGGCTGAGGTACTGAATGGCTAAACAATGTTGACCTGTGTAGGTTCCACGGCATTATTTTCAGAGGGAAAAGGGACTAGACCCTCAAACAAGTTTATATCGTAAAGGTTAAATAATCAGGGATTTGCTGAAATCAGAAAACATGGCTTCAAAAAAGCTATTTCATTCCCAAGAAAATGTATCTGAATGCTAATTTTACTGAATGTATTTAATCTTGGCCTCCTAAACACTGCAGGCATGAATGTAGTCAACCTTATCAACCATGCATCCCATGTCACTCTTGTACATTGGTCTCCAGCTTTTTTGCAGTTGGCGCCCCCTTAAGAATATGGCATGACTCCCACCCCCTTACCCCACAGCACAACAAAATGTGATTAAAAAGAGGACAAAAAGGGAAAATCCCAAGAACTATTAGCAGTAACTTGGAGAAAAAACATGCACATAATTCACCGAGCCAAATAAGAAAACAAAAAACACACAAAAGAAACAATCACCAGCTTGTAATTTAGTGTAAACATATCTGTGTGGTGGTTGATACAGTTTTGTCTTGATGATGTCTGCTATTATCGGTGTGATGTTGGACAAGGCACAACCTAGATCACTCTCCACATCAAGCTGGCAGCGTTATTTTGTTTTAATGACTGTAAAAGCTGACAATTCCCATTATTACAGTTATAATACACAAATTTCACAAAAGCTTGGCGCCCCTTTTGAAACCTCTTCATGTTCTCCCCACACCCTTTAGGTTGGAGACCACTGCTATAAATCGTTGGTAAAGATGAGATGTCTGAGAAGGGCTGTAGGAGTGACCATAAGAGATAAGATCAGGAATGAGATCATAAGTGAATAAGTCGGCACAGAACCAATTCTAAATTACATACGAAGACAGCAGGTGAAATGGTTTGCCCACTTAGAGAGAATGCCTTGTGACACCATACCATACAAAGCATACATGGAAAGAGAAGAAGGACGTAGAGCACGAGGTAGACCAAGAACAAGATGGAAGGATAACATCAGAGAAACTCTACAACGGCACGATGTGCCTATGGTCGAGGCGGCCAGAGGAGCTAGAGACAGAACCTTATATCTCCCTCGACAGGCACAGCGGTAAAAGAGGAAGTGAAGAAGAAGAAGAAGAAAGCGGCATTTGCTGGAAATTGGACTCGACCAGAAGTGTCGATTTTGCAACTTCTGTTGAGGGAGACCAGGGGGAAACAAATCACATTTTTTAAAGTTTTTGTGGGTGGGTGGCTCTTTTAACCTTGAAAGTCTGTTTTGCCACTCCGATGTCATGTTTAGGCATTTATTTAATGGTAATCCTACATAATTCCAAACAGCTTTGCTGATTTCTGCCAGAATGCACAACTTCAACAGAACTATAGATCAGATCATCAAGATTGTCAAAGTTTGTGAAAGCACAGTACGGAAAAGGTAGATGTCTTGGATATGTTTCTGTTTTTAAAGATGTTACTTGCAAAATATTTTGTGTATGTATTATTATCTTGGTAATCTTAGTTTAAGCTTAAAAGAAAATGCATCACCCCATAGTTGCCCCGCTCCTGTGCCAATGACAAAACAACAGCAGGATGATGATGACTTGACAAGAGAACACTCCCTCCTGTGCTGACAGGAGCAGGACATGCCAGGGTGGTGGTGAACCAGTTGTGGGCTGTATTTTAGGTCAGATTTGTGTCATATATTTTAGGTCAGTTTGTGTCATATTTTAGGTCAGTTTGTGTCATATTTTAGGTCAGTTTTGTGTGCTATATTTTAGGTCAGTTTGTGTGATATATTTTAGGTCAATTTGTGTGCTATATTTTAGGTCAGTTTGTGTCATATGGATTTCAGGAGTTTGTGTGCTATATTTTAGGTCAGTTTGTGTCATATGGATTTCAGGAGTTTGTGTGCTATATTTTGAGCCAACTTGTGTGCTTTGTTTCAGGACAGTTTGTTATATTTCAGAACAACTTGTGTGCTATATTTCACAACTTGTGTGCTATATTTCAGGAGTTTGTGTGGTTTATTTCAGTACAAAATCTGTCTAACCTACAACAATTGGAATGGTTGGTGTTAAATACATTGCCTACTAACTGTCCATTTTGGGTGAGGACTTCAAGACAAAACACTACACTATTCTCAGAGAGATCAAGTCTGATATTTATTTATTTATTAGATTTTAGTTCAGTAAAATTAATTGACCCTTTCCACACCTTCAAGTGTTTGGGTTATGTAATACTAGACCTATATTTTTAGACTAGTCAGCACTTGATGCATGATATTGTCAGCATCATGCTGGCTGACGTTACATCTCAGGACTTTACACAGTATCCAGTTAAGGCTAGGATGACCTGCGAGCACAGGTCGTTTTTGAAGGAAAGGAATGTCTAGCTCCTTGCAGATTTGAACCCACAAGATTGGGGACTGCAGGCAAGCTTCTAACCACTCCACTATGGCTGCACCTTCTAATTCAATACCATATAGTATTTCAGATCTCAGACAGTATTTCAGATCTGAGACAGTCTTTCAGATCTCAGACAGTATTTATAATTATGTTGTTGCCAGATGCTTTCAGATAATGCAGACATAGCTAATGCTCATTGGTTTGTTTGTGTCTGCAGGCTGTTGGAGTTTGATAGCACACCTTCGGCTCAGTTGACCATCGAAGAATTTGATAATGTTGATTTAGAAGAGGAGCAGGATCCTCCTTGTTTTACTGAGGGAAAGAAGAAAGCAAAATTAGCCCAGGTTAGTGTTTCTAGTATCCGTCTTTGTCAGTTTGGTGAGAAGAGTTATTAGGAGTAATGAGTTATAAGCTGGGTTGTCCTTATGACACTTAAAATGAGTTATGAGTTGGGGTATACCTAAGACACTCCAAATGAGTTATGAGTTGAGTTATCCTTTCAACACTCTAAATAAACAGATGGTTCAGGAAAGAGAAGTGCCAATGGAAAATCTTTAGTGCAAGACAGCCTAGCATACGACATCACAACATTTAGCATGAGAATAGAGGTGGAGGCGGTAACTGCTGCTCTTTGGTGGCTAAAGAACCAGATGCATACACTTGTCGTAATTATAAAAGAGTGAACACATGCTTAGAAAGGTGAAGATAGGGATGCTTCGAGCAGAGTGGCAAGCTTCACTGGGAAGGTCAAGAGTAGTGAGCATACTTTGAACTTTTTCTCCAGGTCATGCCGATGTAGTAGGTAATGAACAGACAGACAGATTGGCTGGCTGGATCTGCTCCTTTGGGTGGTTAATTGAAACATGACAAGGCAGGTGTGGCCAAGGCCCTTTGGAAACAAGCAATGGAATCAGTAGAGAAAGATTATTATGGCAAGGAGAGAATGAGGCACCTGGGTGTAAATAGAGGGTCTAGCCGGCTTACTACACTCAGAGGAAGGCGAGACGGACATTTAACCAGATTGTGACTGGTACCATCAGTATTGGAACTCTGCACTGGCTGCTAAAGATGAGGACGGAGCACACATGGGAATGCCCTGAGTGCTGTGATGTCAATTCTTGACTCAACACTCCAAATGAGTTAAGAGCTGGGCTATCCTTATGATGCCCTAAATGAGTTATGAGCTGGTTATGCTTATGACGCTCTGAACATAAGGGCTCAGAAATCCCACTCAACATTAGAGATGCTTGAGGTGTCTGAGAAGGGCTGCAGGAGGGAACAGAAGAGATAAAAGTCTGGAATGAGGCCATAACTGAAGAGGTCAGCACAGAACCAATTCTAAATTATATACAAAAACAGCAAATCAATGATTTTGCCCATTTAGAGAGAATGGGTTTCTATTGAATGTCCTTGCCCAATGAAATCCCTTTATTTCCCATTTTCAGTACCTGTTGGGTTATTCTCTGCTCATTTTTCTCATGATGTGTCCAGTTAGGGACATCTTCTTTGTTTTCCACCTGTCGTTACAATGCCTATTGGCCAAAGTGAAAGTTTATAATAATGATGAATGCTTAGCTATGAATGATTGGTGTGTTTTGTCTGTTCACAGTCACAGATGAAGGATGAGTTGTCCGACAAGATGCTGAAGGAGTTGAATAAATTTGAGGAAAATATTAACAAGTCCTTGAAGAGAACGTTCATGATCTCCGGTGGTAGGTCATCATTTAAAACATTTGTTTTTGTTGCCCTCTAATGAACTTTAGAATGCTTGAAATCATGTTAGCATGCACTGGACTGCTAAATTTTCCTCTGGTTTCTGGGGTCCTGTCTTTGTGAGAGATACTAAATTGAAGTTAACTCGTCTCCCAGTTTCGATGTCAAGTTTTTTAAAATGTTTTTTTTAAATTTTCATAATGTCAAACTGTTTTCCCAGAACGAGAAGATGGTGTGAAAGAAGTGGCTACAGCTGTTAAAATCATCGGTGGGACGACCGTCAAGGAAGCAGCTGGGGATGACTGGAAGACGCCTGACGGGGCGGACGATGCCGAAGATGCCATGAGTTTCACAAGTGAAGATGCAGATGTTACAGAGAATTCTCTTTCTGAAGGTTCGTTAACATTGTCCATGATTTCTATCAGCAGTGTTGTCTTTTGTAATGAAAAGTAGGAAGAAATGTTGTGTTGTGGTTTTTGGCCAGACATATGTAGTGGTGCGATCATCAGTACTAGTACTAAACTGTCAGAAGGCAATGGATGAGATGGTTTAGACATGTCTGAAGGTTACCCTGATATGGTACATTACACAGAAATGTGTAACAAGGAAAGATCGACTAAGGAATGATGATATCAGGAAGAGAGTTGGCACAGAACCAATACTGAACTTTATAGGTAGACAAATAAATCAAATGGTTTGGCCATGTAACAAGATACAACGGTAACAGACTCAGAGGTCGACCACACAGAAGATAGACTGCAGAGGAATATCAGAGACATTGAAAGTACTTTATATGAAGCAAACAGAAGGGCCTGTTCCAGATATCTCTTCCAGCCATGACGCCGCCAGGCTTTTCCAGGAGTAGAGAAAAGACAAAGAAGAAGAAGAGTACGCCACAGAGCCTTGTCACATAGACACAACAGACACAGCTGGAGGTCGCCTGCGCAACTGATGCGTGGATGGCAAATACCAGCATCCATCTAGCACACACCATTAATCCATATAATCAGACGGTCACATTTATGAGTGGTCCATTTCACTCATGCAGACGTATTTTTTAATGGTCCATTTCACTCATGCAGACACATTTTATGGTCTATTCACTCAAGCAGTCACATTTTAAGTGCTCTTTTCACTCAAGCAGTCTCATTTTTTAGACGTCCGTTCACTCAAGCAGTCACATTTATGAGTGCTCTGTTCACTCAGACAGTCACATTTATGAGTAGTTGGTTCACTCAGGCAGTCACATCATCTGCCTGTTCACTCAGGCAATCACATTTATGAGTGCTCTGTTTACTCAGTCACATTTATGAGTAGTCGGTTCACTTATGAGTATTTCGAGTGCTTCTTTCACTCAGGCAGTCACATTGTCTGCCTGTTCACTCAGGCAATCACATTTATGAGTGCTCTGTTTACTCAGACAGTCACATTTATGAGTAGTCGGTTCACTCAGGCAGTCACATTTATGAGTGCTTCTTTCACTCAAGCAGTCACATTTATGAGTGGTCCGTTCACTCAAGCAGTCACATTTATGAGTGGTCCGTTCACTCAAGCAGTCACATTTATGAGTGCTCCGTTCACTCGGTCAGTCACATTTATGAGTGGTTCAATAATCTTACATTTAAATATTGAATGTGCTGTAAGAATGTGCTGTAAGAACAACTGTAGGCATGACAAAAAGGTTCCAAGTTTCATCTGGGGTAGGCTGTTTATTGTCACCATTCTTGTTCATCATCTGTGTGGATATGATAGCTAAGGAAGCAAAACACACAACAGAAGGATTTCATTGAGCTGATAATTTCCACCGACTATGCTCTCGAAGATAATGATAATCTCGATCACCGCATTAACACCCTCAACACCTGTTGCAAGAAATGTAAGAAAAATAAACGCTGTGGGGAAAAAATAATGACAGTAAGTAGAGCATCAGTGCAACATGTCGTCACTGTTGAAGGACAGACATTTGAATTGTATCGTATCGTATAAAATTAAAAAAAAATTCCAAGCTTAGTCCTTTTTTAGCCGCCTGATGGCCTGCTTTTTCAAGGACGGTTCCTTTGCTATCTTATTTATTTATCTTCCTTGTGTTGAGCAATGAACAAGCTAAGGAGTTTTAAATACCTAGGCAGTGTACCCACTGAGGATGAAGGATTGGACAGAGAAACAGAAAGCAGAATACAGAAGGCTAGAGACATAAATTACCAATTACCACTTTTGAGGCATCAAAATATTAACATGCACAGGGAAAGGCAGCGGATAAATGTGCTGTTCACACCAGCTTTGTACTATCAGGGACAGTCCTAGAAAAACAAAAACGCAGAATTACAACATGTGAGATAAGATGTTTTAGAAGTCTGGTGGGAAATACAAGAAGAAACAGAGTTACCAATGAAGAACTAAGAACAGTGGTAGGCACAGTACTGGTAAATATTTCATAGAACATCCAAGAATTAAATGGTTTGGTCAGAATTGAAGCAAAGCACTTTCTAGCAGCCAGCAGCTAGAGTGTAGTACATGAGAAAAGCAGGCCACAGAGCAGGAGGCCGACCAAGAAAAGAGATGGGTAGAGGCAGAAATAGAGACACTACAGAAATGCAATATGAAATTAACATAAGCTACACGATTAGCAAAAGACAGGAAACTACATTAAACTCCTCTCTGTGAGGCTTCACGGCATAAACAAGAAGAAGAGGAATCCAACAACTCTTTACTTAATGGCGTAAGCAGCAGGACAACATAAAGGGTGAAGAAAAAGATAACATTTTTCATCACACAAACATATTCATGCCTGGTCTATTAATCTCATTAATTAATTCATGATTCTAACTTGTATCTTTGCAGAGACATCAGTTGTAGTGAAATCTCAAAAGACTGAAAAAGTTGAGAATGAAGAAAAGGAGAGTGAAGATAAAAAGTTGGCAGTGGAAACAAAGTCTGAGAGCGGAGAACTTGATCTGACTGGCATTGATGACGAAGAAATTGATAAAGTAATGTGCTTGCATAATTATTTTTGTCAATTGTTAGTTGTTCTTTCCTCTTAGGCCTGCGGGCGGCACATAGGGAAGAGGTCATAGCTCTCCATGTCTGGTGGTTCATTGCCACCTACTTCTAGTCTTGGATGTTTGTTAGGCCCAATGACTGAGCTTTTCCTGATGATGGTTCTACGTGGTCTTTCTTGGTCTTCCTTGTTTTATTTTCCCTTCCGACGTCTGTATGAGGGCTTGATGGCGAAGTCTTGTCTTATTTATTCTGAGTGCATGGCCAGATGTAACTGCAGCAGCGCTTTCTTATAAAACTGGATACACTGTTATGGTCTGGTCTTTTCTCTCTCATTTTTAATGGCTGATTTGTCTCTCAATTTGAATAAATAGCTGGTAGTGAATAGTGTTGATAGCTAGTTAATAATGTAAATAGTTAGGTAATAGTTATAATGATAAATTAATCAGGAGTTTGCTTAATCAACCAAATGCAGATTTTATCATTGTGTGTTTTTCTTTTTTCTTTTTTTTACCTGTCTTTTATTCCCTCCAAAGAAACATAGGCTCAGTATCATATGTGCATATATGTATAAATATATAAAATATTTTCCTTTCATTTCCCATCAGCTTATCCCTTGTTTACCCCATCTGTTTCATCTGATTCTCTAATTTGCTTTGTGTCAGGTTCAGTTACATTTTAGGCAACACAATTTTTAAAATCTGGCCACGTTTAAACTAAAATGCAGCTTCCATCTATATCTATAATCTAGTTTTTGTGTCCAATTAAGTGTCTAAGAGGCAACATTTTGTAAGATTTGACCATTTTCAAACAAATTTAATGAGCAGCTCCAATTATAATTGTCTATAGGTGTATAATTTGGGCTAAATGTATGTCTGAGGTGTATTATTTGGGCTAAGTGTATTGTCTGAGGTGTATTATTTGCACTGCATTTAATGGCTAAGGTGTATGAATTGGGCTAAATTTAATGGCTAAGATGTATTATTTGGGCTAAATTTAACGGCTAAGATGTATTATTTGGGCTAAATTTAACGGCTAAGATGTATTATAGGGCTAAATTTAAAGGCTAAGATGTATTATTTGGGCTTAATTTAACAGCTAAGATGTATTATTTGGGCTAAATTTTATGGCTAAGGTGAATTTTTTGGGCTAAATTTAATAGCTAAGATGTATTATTTGGGTTAAATTTAATGGCTAATGTGTATTATTTGGGCTAAATTTAATAGCTAATGTGTATGAATTAGGCTAAATTTAATGGCTAAGATGTATTATTTGGGCTAAATTTAATGGCTAAGATGTATTATTTGGGCTAAATTTAATGGCTAAGAAGTATTATTTGGGCTAAATTTAATAGCTAAGATGTATTATTTGGGATAAATTTAATGGCTAAGATGTATTATTTGCGCTAAATTAAATTGCTTTAATAAGCTGCAGTTTTTGTGTGTGTGTGTGTGTGTGTGCTGATCTGTGTTTATACCTCTGACCCTGTGGTTTTAAAGTGCAAGGGATTTTCTGGTTATATTGCAGGATTTCTCATTGTTGTGTCCTGTCCAGTGCCAGCATCTTTTCCTCGCCTTTGAATTTCACTATGATTTGTTTATTTTTCTCTCAGGCTTCACATTGGTGATTTTGTCATGCCATCCCTCTGTGGCCTGGCTTGCTAGCATAGTTGGTTAAACTGACTTTGTGACCGGGTGACGAACTTCTTGTTGTCTGGGTTCACGCCCGTAGTAGGCAGAAAAGCCACATTTCTCCCAGATTTACGGTATCTGTCATGGAATCAAGGCTGAAGGGTTACAATATCCATAGTACCGAGCCAAAGGGTTAACAACTCTGGTTTCTGAATATTTAAAACAAAAAAAAAAAAATAATTCCCTCTGTGCTATGCAGGGACCAGTTAATGAATGTTTGTAGTTTATTTTATAATTGTCTTAGGTCTCCATGTTTCAGCTAGAAAAATGTCTACGATTTTTTCAAGGATTATTAGTACTATGAATGAATTAGGAATAGGGCTATGGTAAGACAGTGGCTAGATGCCTGCCTACTGGTCTGACGGCCTTGGGTTTAAACCCATACCATGCAATTAAAAAAAAAATTGTTAAGACCTCGGCTTCTAGTACACCTTGTCTAACTAAAGTGTGTACCAGGCAATGTCCTTGGAGGTAAAGATGGCGGACATGATACCTCCCACCTAGTGCTGTTTTGTCTGTACAGACAAGTCTAGCATGAAATGTCTGATGTTCGACTGATGTCAGAAGTCTGTAACTTTTCATTTGGAAGGACAGCAAAGGTGCTAACAGAAATGTGTCCATGCCATGACAATAATTAAGAAATAAATGCTATAGTTTTCAAAGTAGACTGTCCCAAGTTCAACATTTACGGACACAACTTCTGGCCAAAAGAAACACTGGTGGAAGCCAAATTATACGGGCAGCTAAGTGAATTACTGACAGTAAAGTTTTTACTACAGACAGCATTGCAGATGTTGATAATTTATTTAAGCGAATGACAGCATAAGAGCCAGAAGAGCTAGAAACAGAACCTTATATCTCCCTCGACACCCACAGCGGTAAAAAAGGAAGTGAAGAAGAAGAATGACAGAAGAAGAAAAAAGCAGTTTTTAAAGTCTACATTCCATTGTTTCTGGTTGTTGCTTGCTTGGTGCTTTTGTTGTTGTAAACACTGATCATGAAGCAGTTTGAAAGGTGGTATGATAAATTTACATTTTCAGATGTGTGTATATGTTTTTTGTTGTTTTTTTTTTTTGTTAAAAAGATAATAGAAACATTGATACAACAGTAACAGGTTGACCACACAAAATCTGGACCACAGAAATATCAGAGACACTGAATAGTACTTTATACGAAGCAAACAGAAGTGCCTTTTTCCAGAGATCACTTCCTGCTCTGACACCATGAGGCTCTAAGAGTAGAGAAAAGAAGACGAAGAAGAAAAATTGACTTTAAAAAATATTATTAAACATTATGAAGTTAAAATCTCAGGTTTTAAAATGGATCTTGTTGTTTTAGCTAATGAAAAAAGGTGTATGATTTGATGTGTCTGCTTTTCTTTCAGTTGATTATGTCTGAGGAAGAGGCTCAACACAAGGCCAAGTGGTTTGATGTAGAGTTTGGCGACTACATGGAAATAGTCAAAGGTAGTATATCTTTTTGTGTGTGTACCACATTTTTACATGTATAAGATATCCCCATATGAAAGGCGATCCCTAAAATTTTAGAACTGGATTAATAAAGCCTGACTTTTTCATAAATGACCTTGACTCCCAGGTCGACCCAGCCTTGAGTTGGTACCGGGTGCAGTCCTGGAAAGTAAAAGGTGGTAGGGGTGATGCTGACCACATCACCCGTCTTGTGACGATGGGTCTATAAAAATATAGGTCTAGCCCTATATGCCCTATATGACTAAAAGCCTGGGAAAAGGACCTTTACTTACTCTATATCTTGTACACGGACAAATTATGGCATCTGATGGGTTCTTGTGAGTGTGGGATAAAAACAGTTTATGCAACCACCACAGTGAAGGTTGACTGCAGCATACTACTGTCTTTGATATTATTACTTAGCGAGACCCTATCTCTTCTGTGGTGCAACTCTCATACAACTATCAGAAAACCGCATAATTTTTTTTTTTCTAACCTGCTGTGCTGTCTGCACCTTCCTTTTTTTTGCCCAACACATTTGATTTTGGCAAATCCTTAATTAGTCATTTCTTATGACATGTTTGTTGAAAAGCAGTGCACATCCCCCCCCCCCCCCCCCCCCCCCCCCCCCCCCCCCAAATTGAGAATAATTAATGATGAATGTTGAGTTGAGTGAACAATTGATATCACAGCACTCAGGACATTCCCATGCATGCTCCATCCTCATCTTCAGCAGCCAGCGCAGAGTTCCAGTACTGATGGTACCAGCCTCAATCTGGTTATGTGTCCGTTTTGTCTTTCCTCTGAGTGTAGTGGGCCGGCCAGACCTTCTGGTTACACACAGGTGCCTCATTCTCTTCAGGCCATAATAATCTTCTTTCTCTACTGATTCCGTTGCTTGTTCACGAAGGACCTTGACCACATCTGCCTTGTCATGTATCAATACACCACCCAGTGGTGCAGATCCAGCTGGTCTGTCTGCCTGTTCATTACCCACCATGCCAGCATGGCCTGGAGAAAAGATCCAAAGTATGCTCACTACTTATGACCTTCTTTATTTTCTTTTTCCTTTCATTTAATGATGCAAATGAATTATTATTTTTTTTTCCCTCAGAAAGAGAAGAAAAGAGAAGGATCAAGGAAGAAGCAGCAGCAAAGAAGAAGCAGAGAAATGTAAGTATGTGAATCTTATCATATTATAGTTTTGACCCCATGTAGGATCAGAACTGGGGTTTGCATTACATAGGCTAATAAGGCCAGTTAAGTTACCAGGGGATCTCGCCGATGCTCGACACTCAAGGGAAAGGTGAGATGTATATACAGTTAGACAGTTACTGGTGCCATTGGAATTGGAACTCTTCACTTGCTGCTGAAGATGGGGACAGAGCGCTTATGTGAGTAACCAGATTACTGTGATGTCGATTCTTAATTCAGCATGTAAGACCAATAGTCTTATAAGGCTCTGAAACCTGAAGTAAAACTAAACGAAACAAAGCCTAATTAACATTTTTGATTGAGACAACAGGGAATCTGTGGACTTGTCAATGAAGCAATCTCTAGACATAAGTATGAGCGCCAAGAAACAGATTATAAACAGCATATTCATACCAACACTTTGCTGCCAGTGCCAGACTTTGACATTATCAAAGGCTAACCTACATAAAATTAACACCTGTGAAATGAGATGCCGGAGAAAAGCTGCCAGCTTAACAATCTGAGTTAGAAATAATATTATCAGACAGACTGTAGAAACAGCACCACGCAGCAAATTTATTGAGAAACAAGTTAAAATGGTTTTGGTCATCTAGTAAAAATGCAGCTACAACAACTGTCAGTGCAGGCGCTACACATGAAAAGTTCTGAAGTGAAATCGGACTTTAGGTCCAATACATCTATAAGACAGGAAACAAAACAAAAATATGTGTCTGATTTTATTAGAATGCGTCGCTGGAATTACATCGGTCACGTACTCAGAATGGACATACAGAGACTTCCCCACCAAGCCTTCATATGGTCACCAGAGGGTAAAAGAAAACAGGGAAGACCAAAAGAAACTCTCCGTAGAACCATCACAAGGGAGAGCTCAACCATAGGTCTCAGTCGCACTCAAGACCTACATCAAGTGGCAACGAACCGACAGACGTGGAAAGCTATGACCTCTGCCCTATGCGCCATCTTTGGCACAAGAGGAATAACTAACTAACAACGACATAGAAGGACAACAGCCATTGCTGCCCATCAAGCAATGAATCGCAAACTGTTCTGCCCACAATGACAGCAAAAGTGGTATTTGATGATGATGCTAAACCACCAGAGAATTCATGTCCAGGCTGACAAACTTGGGTGTGCAACCTGAATCTGTAGGGAATTAACATTTGACCATCGGCACAAGATGTTTGATTAATCAACACAGTACAGGCATCACGTGTCATTTTATGTTAATGGAGCTTTTAGGGAGGAGATTGGAGCAATTATGGATCTGTCCAGAGTGATGATAATCCTCAGTAATATTTGTTTTTGCTCAAAAGTAGACAGAATCACGGCTTTTTTATGGTGGTATACAATATCTGAACCTTTATTTAGAACACTTTTTTTGGGTGAGTACTGGTAAATTTTTTTCTGTTAAATAAAAACGCTCTGGGAAGAACACAGCAGCACTGACACCATGTTTTTCTTATAATGATGCACTGATAGTTAGTTGATTGATCATATTCACTGCATATTGAATCATTCAGTCGGCAAAAGTACTCATATTTATTTTTCAGTATACCCTTGGCATGTAAAGGCTAACAACATTAGTTATGTATAAAAGTTTAGTATTCATTTGTGGCTTCCTAAATTGTGTTTATATCTGGCTTTAGGCCCTTTTGACCTGCTTTTTTTTGCAGTCTGTGGATTAGGCATTGCGAGCACTCTTCAAAATGCCAGGTTGGATCCCAGGTGCAGTCTTTTTCTTCTTCACGTTCACTGGCTGTAAACTTTGGCGGAAAGTTCTGGTTGTTTGTCCACATCTGGACTTTAGGCTTTTTCCAGAACCTTAGTGTTGCATGCACATCCGTTTAACAGATCTAACTTAATTGTATGCAGATTGTTGGTTCCTTGCCTCTCAGGCATGTGCACTCTGACTTCGAAGAAAGCCCCAGTTAGTGTCGTCTTTTACAACATGCTTGTTGTTGAGGCAGTGGGTCTGTTCATGTTTTCCCCACAATGTGGCCCCGAACCCACACAGCTGCAATCAATTTGGCAGCAGACTGTAGTGATTGTTTTGGTCTGCTACCAATAGCTGACCATTTAGAACACACTGGCAAACCACGGAGCGTAAAATTTGCCTAGAAAAACCACAACAGCCAAAAAATGCTTGGGTTAGTTCTGCAAAGTCCTGCGAGTGATATGCAATAAACTTTTTTTTTTTTTTTTCAAACAATCTTGTCATTGGTGCAGATTCACATTCATCACTTGATTTGTGAAAACATCTTAGTTCTTATAGGTTATTCTGTACATAGATGATACATCGCATAAAGCAGTATGAAAACCATCTCATATTTGTCTCAAAAATATTAGGTTTAAGTTAAGAGGATTTTATCCCATTTGGCCTGGTCTCCCTTCTAGGACAGCTAGCCGCCTGCTGAGAGCATGAAACAAAAGACGTCTCCGTAGCTCTGGTGATAATCCCCAGAAGTCTGCATAAAAAATTGCACTGAAAAAAAAAAAAAAACTGAATGGTGTTGCCATGATATGGATCCACACATTTAGAGTGTGAGACAAACGACTTGACCGCATCACCATGAAAACCCCAGTCTCTCAATCATAGATACCATTTAGCACTGTCATTATCACAGCAAACCGGTAGGGAATTTATTTGTTCACAGGAAATTGCTCAAGAATTTTGGAGGAATTTGGAGAATTGTCACCATTATTAAGACATCCAAGCATAACTATGAGTGCAAAGAGACAGATTATTAATAGCATATTTATTCCAACATTAAGCTGCCAGTGCCAAACATGGACACTATCTAAAGCCCATATACGAAAAATTACCACCTGCGAGATGAGGTGCCTGAGAAAAGCAGCCAACCTAACCATACGAGATCGAGTGAATAATAAAACTATCAGGCAAATTGTGGGAACGACACCTTGTACTACATTCATTGAGAAACAGCAGATCAAGTGGTTTGGCCATCTTGTTAGAATGCAGCAAGATCAAATACCATCACAAGCACTACATCTCAGAAGACCAACTACAAGAGCAAGAGGACGGCCACGGAAAACATGGATCGACAACATTAAAGACACTCTACGCCTTCACGGCATGACAATAGCCAGTGGCAGCCAACGTGCACTGGAACGCAAATTATTCCTCCCCACGTCGCTTAACGGCAGAAGTGGTTTATGATGATGATGATGATTTCTTGCTTCCCATGTGTCTCATATTCTTTTATTTTGTTTTTTTTTACTGTCCAACAGCCAAAGGCGAAAAAGAAAAAGAAAGGATACAATCTTGAAATTGAACTTGCAGAGTGCATGGAGATCTTGGAAAAAGGTATCCGTGAGAAGAAGCTGTCAGATAAAATCAACTACAATGTACTTAGTGCTTTAGACGACACTACTCCCAGAAAGTTGCCGGCCAGCGAGCCAGTGGAAATCATTGATGATGAGGTTAGAGAAGATGTAACCGAGCACAAACCACAGATAATTAACAGGTCAGTGGATGTTTGTTGTAACTTTAATTAATTTATTTGAAGTCATGATGGCATAGGAGGGGCTTAGGTTCAATTCATAGCACACCTCCTCTACTTTTGACCATCTGCACATTCAACCACAAAAAGTAAATTAATTTTAAAATGTAAAAATAAAATAAAAAAAGGGCATTAGTAGGGTCAACAAGTTCCAGAAACTGATGCAGTAGACAACTGTTTTCAGTGGGACAGTCCCTTTTTTTTTTGTCTGCATGCCCCAGCTGTCCCGTCAGTACTGCAGAAAAACCTCAAACGTCCCATTTTATAAAAATTTAGTAAAAAGCTTGAGGATAGAACATAGACGAGGGATACTTTTACTTACTTACTTAGTCGCTCCTCTTCTACCTTGGGGTGTAGAGGTTTGCCAGAGAGATCACCAGACGTCTCTCTATCATTGTTTTCATGTTCCTTTGTCATTCCAGTACCCTCTGTCAGTTAGGGACTGTCGGATGTTGTCTTCCCAGCGCACCCTGGGTTGTCCTGGAGGTGTGGTTCCCTGGTTCTTAGCCTCCCATGCCTGCCATGGTGGCCGATTTTCTCCCATTCTGCATACATGTCCAAACCATCGTAACCGAGACTGATCTACTCGGGTTAGTAAGGGCTGGGTATCAAGATCTTGACGTATTGTCTGATTGCGGACTTTGTCCCTTCTTGTCACTTGGACCACCTTTCTCAGATATCTCATTTCCGAGGCCTGCGAGATACTTTTAATGTGTGAAATATGTCGATGAGATGTTTCATTGTAGCATGTTCCTTGTTTTTAGTGCAGTTAAAGAGCCATGTATTGTTTTTTTTAATGTCTTGGCCTCAATGCTTCAAGTTTTTTTTTAATATACAATCCTGAGTGAGTATTTAACCCTTTAAGTCTGGTGACCTAGAAAAAATTGGGAGTGGGGTTAAACTGACTTGATATAGATGTCCCATTTTAAGCTCAAAATATGAGTGGGATGTCCTATTTGCAGATCAGGATATTTTAACACCATTCTGGGCTATCTTCCGAATTATGGTCCCAAATTAACGAGGCAGAAAATATACCTTAACAGGGCCTCAGTCACGTGTCAATAGTGTACTTCTGGGGACTATACCGCCACCGGAGAATTGCGAACTTCCGGCGACTCCCGCCACCGCCGAGAGTATACCCCCACCCGTGCCCCCCATGGTGGATTGGGGCTAAACTAGATGGCTAGGACTCACGAGCAAATAAAATGAAGGCAGCTGCAGGAAATGCGGTAGCTGCTGCTCGTGAGTGGGGGACACGTGGCAGGGGGATACTCTCGGCGGTGGCGGAAGTCGCTGGAAGTGCACAATTTAAGTCGCTGGAAGTGAGCAATTGACACGTGATTGAGGCCCTGTTAGGGTATATTTTCTGCCTCGATAATTTGGGACCGTAATTCGGAAGATAGCCCCATTCTGTTTTAAATGCAAAGAATAACTCCTGCAGACTAATACAGCCATCTACTGCATGATGCTTCACAATTAACAGCAGAGTACATTCTTTGATGATGTCATGTACTTTGTTTTTCACATCTGTTATACATACACAGTGTAGTGACACCTTACAAACATCTTGTATACTTAATTTGACATTTGTGTTACAAGTGAACTGTTTATATTTGTTACAAGTCAACTGTTCATATTTATACATTTGTGTTACAAGTCAACTGTTAATATTTATACATGTATGTTACAAGTCAGCTGTTCATATTTATACATGTATGTTACAAATCAACTGTTCATATTTGTACGTGTATGTTACAAGTCAGCTGTTCATATTTATACATTTGTGTTACAAGTCAACTGTTAATATGTGTACATGTATGTTACAGGTCAGCTGTTCATGTTTGTACATGTATGTTACAAATCAGCTGTTCATATTTATACATGTATGTTACAAGTCAGCTGTTCATATTTATACATTTGTGTTACAAGTCAACTGTTCATGTTTATAAATTTGTGTTACAAGTCAACTGTTCATATTTATACTTATACATGTGTGTTACAAGTCAGCTGATCATATTTCTTTTAACTTTCTTTATTTCAGGTTCAGCAAAAAATCTTTATTAACTCAAACAAACACAAAAAAGGTAAGATAGACATGACTGTTAATTGTGGTGTTGGAATTTCATTATCTTTGTTCCTCATGTCAAGAGAGTGTATCACTAATATTTATGCACCCATAAACACAGAAATCAGTGTGTCTAAACTCAACAGTTACAATACTTTGATAGCTCGGAATTGTAACGCTTTAATAGTTAAATAGCTTGGAATTTGAATGCAATTTTCAAGTAAATTTTTCCTGGGAACTTGAATGGCGCCTTGGAAACTAAACACCTGCCAGCCGCGCTACCATACACTGCCACCATGTGACTTCAGTTTATTTTTGTGTGCTGTGCTCAACACATTATGTTTCTGCTCCTCATCTCATACGGTTTTTGGTACTAATTTGCCGTTATTCGCTGTTTTGTTTATCTATAAAACACTAGTTTATTTGTTATGATTGGTAAAATGTGTAGTGTTGGAAAACAGAATATGTAAATAAGCATTTGGAGCAACACTTAGAGCAAAAGTATCTTATCGCTAAGCATGAAAGTGGTATTCATGTATGTGAACTTCGAGTCTGTTGAACTCTGGAGCCTATTATAATAGTTCCTGTTTTTTAAATGGGAAAAATTGCCTTGGAACTTGAACGATTTAAAATTCAATCACTGTCGCACAACAAATTATGTTCTAATTCTGAGACACCACTGTATTTCCTGTGTGGGTTCATGAGCCTGATTTTCTGGCAATAAAGGGGGTGGGGTAAATAAACCAACTTCTTAATAAATGTGTCATAATGACAAATTAAGTGTTTGTTGAATTGTACGTGTTTGTACAAAAAGGAGGCAGCTATCACTGCCTAGCTGTAAACCACAACACAACATGCCAGCCTCCCTTTTAGGAGCAAATGAAGAAGAAGAAAAAGCTATTGTGTTTGTTGATCGAATTATTATCTTTCTCATAAGTACAAATGTCATGTTGTCTTGCAGAGAACTGCATCCAAACGGGTCACGATACAAGATAAGGTTGAGGAGGTCACATTTAAAAAGCCAAAGCTGGTGGTTGAAGAGGAGGTCAAGGCAGCAGTCGTCATTGAGGAGACAAGTTGTCAGTTAACTACTTACAGTGAGCAAGGTATCATGTTGACTTATTTTGTGCATTGTTATTATTGCTCATTGTTTTTGTGATGATCTTCATCACACAACAGACATAACAATAAGTGTTATCTCCTTCTGAGTGTCTTTCCAAGTGTTTTTAGGCTAATAACTCCCATTCTTTTCTGGTTGTTAATAAAAGTAGGTATGGTTTTGAACAACATATCAACGTCATGGCACACGGGTGTAACCCATAAGTACTCCATTCTTCTGAGGTCCGAAGAAGCTCAGCACAGTGCACAGGCTCTGTAGCTCTGGCAAGGATCCTGAAATACTTTAGGTAGATTTTTAACTATAAATTTTGCCCAGACAGCACTGTTAGTCTACTCATTTTTTTGATTACCAACTGCCAAGGGATTTTTTTTTTAACGTGCGCAACAATTCATACCGGCATCTGATTTCACTACCTATAGACCAGGGGGAATTACTAGAAGTCCATGTGAAACAATTCCAGCCCTTACCGGGGATTGAACCCGGAACCTCTAGCACTCGAGGCGGACACCATGCCTCGAGACCACACAGCCCCTTGGTATTCAAAAGTTCACACACATAATGTATTCTTAGTGACTCAATGAATATGCTTCAAAAAATCCAAGCTGGATTTATCAGGCAAGAATGGATTGCAACACTAAGCACTTCACGAATAGCTACCCTAACCTTCTTCTCTGTGCCAGGTCATGCGGATGTTCAGGGAAACGAGCATGCAGACTATCTTGCTGACACTGCGGTTGCTATGGCTGGTCCAGTACTGGACAGAAGTGATGTTATCAATGTCATGCGCTGCACTTACTGTACCGAGGAGAACGTCAAAGGACATGACTCCGAATATCTGTCTAGACTGATGGACGTGGGGGTGCAGCCTGGAGCTGCAAGAAATGAACATTTCACTAAGGGGACAAGACATTTCATTAACCAACACAGAACAAGCGTCGTCAGTCATTTTACACTTGTGGAGCTTTTGAGGAGGAGATCGGAGCACCTGTGGATCTGCCCAGAGTGCTGTGATCTTCTTCGCGTTCACCAGCTGTAAACTCTGGCGGAAAGTTCTGGTTGTTCATCTACTTCTAGACTGCAGTCCTGTTCCAGAACCTGAGTGTTCATCGTGTGCATCTGTTTCACAGATCTGACTCATTTGTATGCAGACTGCCGGCTCCTTGCCTCTCAAGCAGATGCACTCCGACTTTGAAGGAAGCTCCCAATTAGTCGACTCTTACGACATGCTTTTTGGTAGTCAGTGGGTCTATTCTTGTTTTCCCTTTAACAGGGCCCCTCAACCCACACAGGGAAGTGCTGTGATGATAATCCTTTCTAATCACTAATCACTAAGTGCTACCCATTGAGTACTGGGCAGCAAACTGTTCAGCCCCCAAGACTTGATGACAGCTTCTTCCTTTCTTCTTCATGTTCACCGGCTGTAAACTCAAGTAGAAAGTTCTGGTTGTTTTTCCACATCTGAATTTTGGTCTTGTTTAAAAACTTGAATTTTGCAGATCTGGCTTAATTACATGTAGACTGTGGGTTCCTCGCCTTTCAGACAAATGCAGTCCAGTTTAGACAGAAACGCCCCTAGTTGTTCATCTTTTGCGACCTGCTCATTAGCGGGCAAGCAGGTCATTGCTTCAATCCCTTCATAGAGCTTATCAGCAGTAAGGGAATTTAATGATGATTTGAAGGGAAAAGTATTGCCGAACACAAAGAAAAGCATCTGTAGTATACTGACTGTTAGTGCTTTTAAGCGCAGATTTCTTTCCTATAACAATCCATTTTCTCTCTCTTTTCCACAGCTGAAGAAGTGATTGATGATGAAGAGGAGGAAGAAGATGAGGAGGATGATGAAAGTGATATCTTAAGTGCACGGCGGTTACTTAGTCAAGAGGGTATGTATGAGATTTTTTGAATTAAGTTTTTACAGTGGCTTGAGAGGTTTTTTAGAAGCAACACAAAATAGATATTTAGCATCTCTAGAAATAAGGATTTGCACAGCTTCAGAAATGACATTTAAGGGATGTTTAGAAATGATGTTTCATCTAATTTGCAAGTGCCATTATTTACTAAAGGGAACTTTTCATATCTATGATACATCAGACATATACAGGTCTCCTTGACTTAATGACTGAGTTACATTCTGACTAACAGTCTGTAAGTCGAATTTATATTTTTCAACCCTATTTTCCTTTTAAGTTCATAAATCTGTTTGGAGGGTTTGTAGCTGTAGGTGGTGTTCTTGGGTTGCTCCTTTCTTCACCACTGATCACTGGCATCATGAGAGCTAATAGACTTAAACGGTTGGGGCATTTTGAAAGAATGTCAGATGATAGAGAAGTAAAAACTGTATACACCAGGGAGATGAATTGACATAGACCACGAGGGAGACCAAGAAGACGATGGAGAGATAATGTCCAGACAGATTGCAAACACTTGGTGTCACCAACTGGAGAGAGAAGGCCAACCAGAGAGATGAATCGGGGCGGGTGATATCTGCAGCAGTGAACCTCAAGGGCTCGGAATGCTGAAGAAGAAGATTTTCCTTTAAGTGGTTATGAAATTGTATGTAAAACACAGACTCTGGTGTCTAGACAAAAGATGCTACCAACATAGTGGACTTTATTTCTAAATTTATTTTGGGGGTGATGGTGTTCATCAGTGTGGATGTTTGTAGGTCGCAAAGGTCGTAAATTTGAGGAGAAGATCTGGTAAGTAAAAAGTAAAGTAAAGGACCCTTTTCCACGCCTTTAGGCGTATAGGGCTAGACCTATATTTTCATAGACCAATCGGCACAAGATGGGTGATGTGGTCAGCATCAGGCCGGCTGCCTTTACTTTCCCGGGACTGCACCCGGTACCCACTCAAGGCTGGGTCGACCTGGGAGCCAAGGTCATTTTTGAAAAAAGTCCAGTTCGAAGATCCAGTACTAGACCTAAATTTATTTAGACCAATTGGCACTCACCAGATGATGAGGTCAGCATGATCTCAGCCGCCTTTACCTCACCGGCTCACGTGACATTACCTAGTACCTGTTTGAAGCTACGCCAGCATAATGTAACATAACCCTTGAACCGTAAGGGTCGTGGAGTTGTGTCGATGGAAGCACTAACACACAAAACCCACCATTTTTCTCTGTCTTCTGCTTGATGAATAAGTCCATGATAACTTAGTCCTGTCCATTTCTTGATGTTGCCATTCCAGGTTTTTCTTTGCCCTCCTCTTTGACTACCCTTGAACGTACAGTCTTTGCAACTGAGTCATGTCCTCACCAAGGTCTATTTTAAATAATCCCGCCTCGGTGAAGATTTGAACTGTATACCTTGGGGGGCCAGCAGGCAAGCATCTAGCCACTGCCACCACAGCTCCCAACATTACCTCAATCAATCACTAATGTGCCATCTCCACAACAAAGATTGATTGTAGTGGATCTCCAACACTCTGTATGTCTTGTCTTGGTAGTACACTCTCAGACTGCAGTTTGTCCATATCTTGATGTTGTCCTTCTAATAGTTTTCATTGTTGCTGTCTTGCCATCAACTCTAGTATGGTTTTAAAAGAGTTTTATGTCTTTAAATATGGTCAGAATGTTTTAGTTCTCTATTTTTCTTATTTATTTCAGTAACTGCCTTTTAATCTTTCCGGAACCTCTGTATTTCATTGTTTTTGTTTTCATGAAATATGATCTATTAGAATTACATAGATCTTTAAAAATAACATTTCAAAGACCCTTCACATTTAGGATTTTATGTCTTCATTGGATTAGAATGAGCTTCCAGAAGCGTTTTTGTTTTAATCAGTGAAGGGTGAAACCTATCCAAATTCAGTTGGTTAAAGAAAGTCCATTCTGGCTATGCATGCCTGTCAGCCCGCCAAGTGTCTGAGTGGAACAGGAGGAGTTTTAAAATGGTGTGACTTCTGTGATAGACTGTTCACAACTGGGTCAGCCGCACTGTTCACAACTGGGGCAGCCGCACTGTTCACATCTGGGTCAGCCGCATTGTTCACAACTGGGTCAGCCGCACTGTTCACATCTGGGTCAGCCGCACTGTTCACAACTGAGTCAGTCGCACTGTTCACAACTGGGTCAGCCGCACTGTTCACAACTGGGTCAGCTGCACTGTTCACAACTGGGTCAGCCACACTGTTAACAACTGGGTCAACCACACTGTTCACAACTGGGTCAGCCACACTGTTCACAACTGGGTCAGTCACACTGTTCACAACTGGGTCAGTCACACTGTTCACAACTAGGTCAGCTTCACTGTTCACAACTGGGTCAGCCACACTGTTCACAACTGGGTCAGCCACACTGTTCACAACTGGGTCAGCCACACTGTTCACAACTGGGTCAGCCGCACAGTTCACAACTGGGTCAGCCGCACAGTTCACAACTGGGTCAGTTGCACTGTTCACAACTGGGTCAGCTGCACTGTTCACAACTGAGTCAGCTGCACTGTTCACAACTGGGTCAGTCACACTGTTCACAACTGGGTCAACCACACCCAGTAGTGACCACAGAGTCAGGTGCAGCCGTTGATGACCTCCTGGTACAGGGAAACCGCCGATAGCTGGACTGACAGACATGCATCATGGATCTTTATTTACTGATGAATTTCTGTAGGTTTTCCCGCTTCACAGATAAAATAAACATTTAACTTAACAGAATGTTGTTCCTCTTTGAGGAATGTTAAAAGTGGGGCGGCCATCTTTACACTGTCGATATTGTCGTGTTTATTCTATGTGTGATATCATTTGATTATCTCTGTTGACCTGACATCCTAAGCAACAGTATTGACACGTTACAAGGCAATCACCAGTCTCTTCATTAACCACTTCTGCCGTTAACGCATCATGAGGTGGAATAATTTGTAATCCATTGCACGCCAGCTGCAAGTGGCTGTTGTCATGCCATGAAGGCGTAGAGTGTCTTTTCTTTGTGTGGGTCTGTCCTCTTGGTTTTGTAACTGATCCTCTGAGATGTAGTGTTTGTGATGG